CTGGTGCGCGCATGTCCTGGACTCATCATCCCCTCACTAGATGGCAGCCTCCTTTGAAAGGGAGATCCCCCTTTGCCTGTAGCAGCTCACTGCACAGAGCTGGTAAATAACACCCATTAAGATGAAGGCAGGCTAGCTAGCCTCTCCCTCAGCCTTCCCTGGGTTCAAGTAAGCCACTTCTGTCTACATCTATATACCAACTCCTCCAATCCACAGAACAACGTCCAAGGTCATCCCAGCAGCACACTGACCCTCACTAAAGATGGTGAGACTCCCTGGGAAGCTGAGTGGCTACTCGGTCTCAAGGTGAACACAGGGGCTCTTTGCAGAAGAGGAGCTTGGGTGGGGAGCTCACAGATGCTCCGGATCCTTCATGTTGTCAAAAGTGTGAACTGTATCCATCCCATAAGCTACATGGTTATGCCAACTCCCAAATGTCAGTCACTCCAGTCCTAAGATTTTTGTTCCGGGTCACCTGTGCTTACTCACGAAATCTCTCAATTATTTAAAAAAGTGTTTTAAAGTTGGGGCGCCTGGGTGGCTCAGTCGGTTGAGTGTCTGACTCTTGATCTCAGCCCACGTCTTGATCTCAGGGTCGTGAGTTCAAGCCCTGTGTTGGGCTCCACACTGGGCATGGAGCATACTTAAAAAAAAAAAAAAAAAAGATTAAAAAAAAACTTTTAAAGTTGAAAGCATACACTTTAGTTTCATTCTACCCAATAGTATCCATGAAATTATGGGTCTGGGTGCAGTTTATGTTTTTTTGAAATACCAACTGAGAAAAAGACATTAATTACTCTTTCCTGTTTTATGTTCAGCTGCAGAAACTTTTAAAATTACCTTGCGTGCTACCAATGACAACACAATGTGGGACGCATTCATGAAAACAAGATTGATGAGACAACTTTGGATCATATTTATTCACTGCAAATTTTTTAAATTATTATTATTTTTATTTATTTAGGAAAGGCCATTTGCTAGATAAGCTGGTGCTCAGAAGTGTCAGAACAAGAAATCTTCAAAGTGCCTTCTCTATGGGGAAGCAGTCTGCACTGAAGGACTTAATTTGTCCATCCCTCCATTCTGGGCGATAGCTAGTTAATTCACACTTATATTTCTCAAGATCATCGTGATGCTGAATGTCACCTGGGGGACCCTTCCTCCAGCTCTAGACCTAGGAGTGCTAGGAAGCTTCTAGAAGCTGAGGTCATCCAACCTGTCCACAGAGTGCAGGAGTGCAGGCAATCTCTTCACCCTCAGTTCCCTTTTAGATCAACAGAAGCCCTGCTTCCCAACGACGGTGAGGGCTGGAGGAATTCAATTATTCTGGTTAATGGCTACTCATTAGACAGTAGAGATACCCACGTGAACAAAACCAACAGTGTCTTCAGATGGGAAGGAGGGAGGGGCTCATTTAGCAGATTGTCCTCCAGCCCCCCTCCTCCCTACATCCTGCCCCAGGATGGGCCAACATCCCCAGAGTCTGACAGCTGTGCCCGAGAGTGACCCAGTGCCAAGTGGGAGTGACCCATGCCTAAGCATGGCTTCCTGCCCACCTTGATCCCATCAGTACGTAAGCATGGAAACCCAGCATCCTAGATGGATGACATGCCCTAAGGGGACCCTGACACTGGGGACCTGGCCTGGAACCCCAATGACGACTCCTAAGCCACTGGGCTCCTGGGCAGTGAGTCCCTAGATCCAGATCTTGTCCTGGTTCTGCTGCCAACCTGTTGGGTGATGTTGGGTGAGTTAACCAACCCCCCCCCCACCACGTGTCCCTCATTGTCAGACTGGGACTTTCTAAGGTTCTCATGCCCTCGAAATTCCCCGATCTTGGCCCATGGCTGCCCTGAATGCAGAGAGCGCTCACCCCCAGGCCTCAACCCAGGCCTCCACCCAAGGTCTGGCTGCCTGGAAGAGCCCAAGTGACTGGAACAGAGCTTTGCTGGTTCTTCTGCGTCAGAGACACCCCCCCCCAGCCCCCACCGTGGGTATCCGGTTACTAGCCCAGCACTCTCTCTCACTGGGTGGCAGCTCTGTCTCCGATATTTTTAGACACCCCCTTGGCCTGTCCCTAACGAAAGCCAGATGCATCTGAAGAGGAGTCCACTCTATGCCCTCTTTGGGTAACTCCTGCACGAAGCCAGACTCCATCCCTCCTGGGGCAAGGAGGGGAGCCTCCTCTTCCTGCCATGCCCACCCCAACCCCTATTCCTTCCCTGGACAAGCTGAAGCCAACCTCCAAGGCTCAGGCCTCCGTGGCCTGTGCAGAGTCCCCACCTGTCCACGGAGCCGGGCAGCAGCCACAAATTACAACACACACACACACACACACACTATCTGCCCAAGGACGGTGGCTGGACTCTTCCTCCCAAACACACCAACCAGCCAGCAATCCAACACCATCCCATCTGGCCTGGAAAGGCATTTGTATATTTTTGTCTCAACAGCCTTCCCTCCCTGGTTGTGTCTGGCCGAGCCTACTATGACAAAGAGCTGGCCTCTGCTGGGCTCCCCATCCACCCGGAAGGCGGCAGAGAGGGACAAGAGAGTCCCTGGGGATGAGAAATTGGCCACTGGAGTCAACTGATGAATCACCTGTTGCCGTAAAATGGAGAGTCTGTATGCACATGAACGCAGTTTTAGCTCCTGCCTGGAATATTACATGCGAGGCAGAGAAAGGAAACCTAGGTAAGACTTTTGCTTCCATTCCAGGAAGAAAGGGCCTTAGAAAATAACTGTGTGTGCGGGGCGGGGTGACCGAGCGAATATGCCCGGTATTTACAGTTACACGCCGGGGAGCCCTGCTTTCCCTCCTGAGCTGTGCCATGTACCCCGGGCCACGCCAGCCAGACATGGTGCCACCTCTCCCCTGGGTGGGGCGGCGCAGTGGCCGCCCCAAAGCCTGGCCACCGGGCTGGCCCCCTCCATGCCTTCCACCACACATACCTGTCCCCAGGTCTTAGGTGAATCTGTTTCCCCACTTTGGGGACAGAGGAGGCTCCAGGCTAGGTGGCCTGCTCTCGGACTCACTCCCACTCCCCAATTCCTGGCAGGGGTGGAGGCGGCAGATCCCAAATCCCTTGGCGGCGGGAAAACAGGTTCTGCACCTTCCTGCCACCCCCGTGCCCCTCCCTCGGCTGTGGGCTTGGCATCTGCCAAGGCCCCCGTGGGCGTCTGGGCCCTGGTTTCTCCAGGAGGGTCTCTCCCGCATTCCAGGAAACCCACCAGGGCATTTCCAGGTGGATATGGGAAGGCTGGCGGGGGGGGGGGGGGGGGGGGGGGGGGGGGGGGGGGCGGGGAAGCTGATGGGGATTCAAAGTCTAGCTCTTGGCACTTACTGGCTCAGTGAGCTTGAGAAACTGACTTAATGTCTCTGGCCTGCCTCTCCCCACCTGCTACCTGGGAGCTGGGATGGAGGCAGCTGTGTGAGGCTTCCAGAAGGGGAGAGTGTGGGCGCACTGCACACTGCCAGGCGCCCTGCAAATGCTCCATGAGCTTTGGTTCTCATCCTGGTCCCTTCCGGACTCCTGGGGAAACCCAAGCTCCTGTCCCCTCCTCAGCCTCCTTACACTTCCTTATACTTAGGCCAAATTCTGGGGAGAGGTGACCTGCAGCAGTTAGCAACCTCTGAGATTCCTTACTAATTCAGACAGAAGCAGAGAGGGGGCTGGAACCTTTTTTTTTTTTTTAAATTGTGGTAAAATATACATAACCTAATATCCATCATTTAACCACCTATAATTGTAGATTTCACATACATTAAATACATCCAAAATGTCATGTAACCATCATCACTATCTATACCCCAAATGTTTTCGCCCTCCCCAACAAAAACTCCAGACCCAGTAAGCAGTAACTGCCCACCCCCTGCCCCAGTCCCTGGTAACCTGTACTTTCTGCTTCTGTCCCTATGAATTTGCCCCTCCTAGGTAGCATTGGCAGGATCATACAGGATTTGGGCTGCAGGTTTCTCAAGCCCCTCACCTTTCCTCTGCCCGTCACTTTTCAGGCTGGTCTCTCCACCTGGTACACAGCCAAGGTAAAAGATCACCCCCTGACCCCACCCCACCCCACCCCACATGCACACCTTTGGAGCCTGGGAGGAAGCAGTGCACCTTTTCCCAAACCTGAAACTGGGCTGGCTGTCTGCCTTGTTCCAGAATAAGGTGTTGGGTTCTGTGGCCTGGACGGAGGGCTTTGCCCTGCAGGGTGTCCCTCGACTGGCCCCTGGTCATGATGTCCCCCTGTCAGCCCCAAGTTAGGGCCTCCTTGGGGTGTGTTTAGGACCCTGGATTTGGAGAGTGTACAGTCCCTCTATACACAAGCTCTGGCCTCCCCTTTCCCTGGAATCCACGGGTAGGGTCCTCAAAGCCCCCCACCCCAACCAGAATGGGGAGCGAGAAGCCTCATCCCGGCGGTGCCTCCAGGCTCCCCCACCGCTCCAGACCTAAGGAAGTTGCTCCTCGTCGCTGGGGGGCGCAACGGAGCCGCCGCCGGGGCCGAGGAGGGGACCCACTGACCCCGGCCTGGGCGCAGCCCGTCCCGCCCGCTCGGTGAGGCGGGGGACGGTGCGCCGAGGCGCGCGAGACCTTCCTGCGACACGGGACGGCCCTGGACTCCGAGAGCCCCGGGAGCGCAGTTGGCCGGGGCGAGGGGAGCCGCCCTGACTCCTCCCCAAACTTTTCCCGCCCGCCTCGGCGCAAAAGGCGCAGGAAGGAGTCCGGGGGTGGGGAGGTGGAATTCGGGGTCCGGGGTGAACTCGGCGCAGTGGGGGGCGGGTGGAGTCCGCGCCCTGGTCGTCTGGCTGAGGACCGGTGGGATTTGGGTACGGATGGGCCTCGGCCCCTCCCTGCTCCCCCCACAAGGCGGGGACCCCCCTCGGTCCCGTGGGTGCGGGGGCTCGCTGCCCGCTCCCCGGGCGCACGCTGCCCGCAGCCCCCCGACGTGGTCCCGCGCCCCGCGCGCGCCTCCCGGGGAGGGCGAGCCCCACTCACCGGGCGCTGGCGGCTGGACGGACGGACGGACTAGCGGGCTGGGGCGCGAGGCGAGGCCGCCGGGCTGTTTTGAAGCTCTGGGCTGGGACTGTGCGCCCTCCCTCCTCCCTCGCGGTGGCGCGGAGCCTCCTCCCCGCGTCCCCTCCTTCCCGGATCCCGCCTCCCGGGCCGTGATGTCAGGGGCCGGGAGAGCGGAGTGGGAGGGACGGCGGCAGGCGGGAGGGGGACGCTGGCGGGAAAGGCCGCAGCCCCGGGAGCGCCCCCGGCCCCCCGGCCGCCTCCCCGCGCTCCCCGGGCCAAGTTTGGGGTGGAGTCTGTCGCTGGGTCGGGGGAGGAGGGAGAAAAGCGCCTCTCCTTCGAGCCAGGAGTCTCTCCCCCGCGCTCTCCCTGACGGGTTTCCACTCCCTCCCCTCCCCTGTCCCTCGGCTCCCCCTTTCGCCTCTTCCCCTCCTTCCCGTAAGGGTTAAGAACAGGGTTCTGGAATCCGACTCCCTGCTTTAGAACCCCTTCTCTGGCGCTCTTCTTCAACTTCGTGCTCCTGTCCTTCCCGTTTCCCGCCTCAGTTTCCCCATCTGGAAACTGAGAGGACTCATGTGCCCTGGAGGTTCTTGGGGGGATGGGGGAGGAGGCCAGAGGGACCCAAGCCCCATCTATGGAGTGGGGGAAGCAGTTAGTATGTGGAAAAATTGAAGAAATGCCAAAACAGGGCCGCGGCGGGGGACAGTATAGTTTAAGCTTTTAATTTAACAGATTAATGCTATTGGCATACACCCCAAAATACAAGGCAGGAGACTATGCTACGGAAGAGAGAATTAGAAACACTTTTAGGAAATAACTGATTTATCGTGCACTAGCTAGTGGGGCCGGAACGCCATGTTTAAATTGTCTGACGCAGGACACCTGGGCGGCTCAGTCAGTTAAGCATCTGCCTTCGGCTCAGGTGATGATCCCAGGGTCCTGGGATCAATCCCCACAAAAGGCTCCTTGCTCAGTGGGGAGCCTGCTTCTCCCTCTGCCTTCGGTTGTCCCTGCTTGTGCTCTCTCTCTGACAAATAAATAAGTGAAATCTTTAAAAATAAATTAAAAAAAAAATAAATTGTTCCCTGCCTGTCTTTTTTCAATCCTGCCGGGGAGCTCTGCAAGGGGAAAGCCTCCCTGGGTGGAAATTAGAGATCCTTAGGATATTTGGGACCCCCTCAAAAGGGCCCCCCCCCAAGGTTCTGAGGTTCCCCAGCTGCTCCAGAGGCTTATCTGTTATCTCTCTTTGAATTCTGGAATTTAATGGCTGCTCAAGACCGCCATCCCCCAAGCAGGGGATTTTCTGTAGGGCTGGAGCAGGGGCAGGAAGATGTTCATTTGAACTGAGACCCTGCCTTTAAAAGGGAAGGAGGGTGGGGTCTGGCTGCTGCAGAAGAGAGCCAGGTGGGGCCCCCCCACACCAACAGGGACAGTGGCACCTGCTGTCCCACGGCCACTGGGAGGACAGAGGGCGCTCAGAAGGCTCTCCCAGAATGGACAGCCCGGGCAGGGGCTGGAGCAGGTGGGTTTCTGCCCTTTGCGGAGTGTCTACTGTCTCCCATCACTTTGCAAACATCACCTTCGATATACCACAACAGTCCTGCAAAAGAAGTTGCCTTCATTTCATCTATGCAGAAACTGAAGGTCAGAGAAGCTACTGCTCAAGGGCCCCATGAGACACGTGGAGGGTGGATTTGGTCTGGACCGACGGCAGCAAGCCCCACTCTTCTGTTCCCACCACATCGCTATTTACCAAACGCTGACCACGGTCAAGCCATCATTCCTGCCCTATCGACATGCCAATATGAACTAGCATTCACTTAATTTTTCTTTAAATCGACTCTGTTTATTTAACTATATTTATTTCATGAGGAAGCCCTATAGCATCACAGGAAACAGGAAACCAGTGCCATTCACCAGAGAGGACAAACTTAACAGACACAAACACTACCCAAAATAACAACAACAACAACAACAACAACAAACAAAACAGTGTTAGTATACTCTAGCCAGATCCTGTTGCCTGAAAGAGTCCGTGAACCTGAGGTTCGGGATCTATCAGTCAGCCTGGGAGGTGTTAAGGACCCCCTAGCACAGGAGACTCCCCTTGTCATCAGAATCATAGCAAGATCACCAGGAAAGGGAACCTGGCTCTCAATCTGTGATTCAAAGCTAGGCGGTGCCTCCTCCCCATATCTTTATCACCTAAACCACCTCCCCTGTGCCTGCTGGTGAGGCGGGCCTCACCGTGGGAAGAACCTGGCCAGACACCAAAGAGCCTCTCCAGGATCCAGAGAAAGGAGTGGATCCTCTTGTGCTTGCCCTCTTGTGCTCTTGCCATTTCCATAAGCAGAATATACCTCCAGGAGCCCACTGTTCCCAGAAAAATGAAAGACCTGGGGAGCAGAGCTACCCAGGGTGACCTGCAGAACTTCCATCTGGGACGCAGAGCTGCTCCAGCCAAGCTGCAGACACGTGAAGAACGAGAAATGCATGTTACTGTTGTGTGCACTGAGGCATCGTGGTTGGTCGTTTCATAGCAGTAACTGGGTGATGAAAGTCTGGGGTTGGGGATCGGGGTGGAGAAGAGAAGGTCATTGAGAACTCTGTCATCTCTTGTGCGTCTTTCCGGCTGGCATGTTTTAAGCTTCTGCCAGTTGCTTATAACCTGCTTCTGCTGACTCTTTTCTGTTCTTACAAGGAATGACAAGGGGTTGCAGCAGGATAGGTAATAGGGAAGAACATGTGGGCTTTTGTCAAAGAGGATCGAGACCCAGAAGAAAATACCTAAATCCACAAAGTTAGGATGGGAATGGATCAAATAGAAATGTGATCTGACCATAGAAACCTGCTTTTGGTTGGTGGGCCCATTTAATCTTGACTGGTGGCAGGGGGTTCTCTAACTTCCAATGAGTAAGTATTTCCTTTGAAAACAAACTGATGGACCACGTGATCTTGCCTCCCAGAGCTCACACCCTTGCGTAATCCCCTCCCCTGGAGAGTGGGCGAGACACACAGCTGGCTTTTCACGAATACAATAAGATAAACATGATGGATGTCACTTCCATGAGTAGGTTAGAAGAGCTGTGACTGAAGCACGGACCATGTTCGAGAGGGCCACCAGAGCGAAGAACCCAGTTAAGCCATGCCCAGATCCCTGACCCACAGAGACTGTGAGTCAATACATGTCTGTGGCTTTAGGCTCCTACATTTTGGGGTAATTCGTCATGCAGGGATAGATAACACACTAAGAAAAGACTTAATATCCACTGCCTCTGATTTGGAGGGATGGGTTCCAGTAATCTTTGTGTCGGTCAGGATAGGCTGGGTGATGCCACAGTAACAAATGATCCCACGATCTCTGGCTTGCAACACAGGTATTGCTATATCTTGCTTGTATTATACGTCTGTTACGGGATGATTGTGACTACGTGTCTATGTCATCTTTACTTCAGGCTGCAGCTGATGGAGCAGCCTCTATAGGGACCAGTGCTGGTCTCAGGGAGGTGGGAAGATAAGGGAACGAAGCACACGCTGGCTATTAAAACCATCTGCATGCTCACATTTCATGGGCAAAGCAAGTCACGAAGCCAAGCAGCAAAAAAAATCTCCCACTGGCCACGTTATCCTGGCAAATCACTTCATCTTTCAGGGTCCAACTCTATCTTTGACCTTGGCTTACAGCTCTACATGCTTCTGGAGGTAGGAATGAGCAGAGGTAGGAATGAGCAAGCATGTCCAGAGAGCTCACAAGCGACATTTTCTCTTGGCTCCTCTTCCAGATGTGAAGCAGGATCCTCAGACGAGGAAAATCCTCAGACCCAGGAAAAATTCCAAGTATGAAGGTTATAGGCAACTACTGTTGGGTCAACCCCCCCCCCACCACCACCGCTGACCGGATGCCCTGCCATCAGCACTTCTAGGCATGGCTCAGCGGGCTGCCCATCTTGCCATAAGAGAGACAGCTGGGAAAGCCCCCGGTGCCTGCTGTATGGAGAGCCAAGGAAGAATCCCTGGAGTGGGGTCTGAGATCTGAGAATGACACTCTCTTGAGAGACCATTTCCTCCTTGTCGCCCACCTCCACAGACCGGGTGGGGGCGGGATGGAGACAATGGTTTCCAGCAGAGAAACAAGACCCCGTGTCCTCCAATTACAGCTCGGCGCTCTGGATCTCATCGCTCTTCCCCGTCGTAAAACATCCCACAAGTCTAAGAAGGATTCACGGTACAAATATTGTCCGTTTCACTTCTGACAGAGAGATTTGACTATCACCAAGGTTGGAGGTCGCAGAATTTCCAAACCCCTGGAGATAACGGCCCATAACTGCGTCACAATGGGCTTTCATGTCTTTTAAAGACACCACGTGTGTAATGAATGCAAATGTACGACGAGCCGAACAAACCTACGGGGGTTGGGTCTGGGTTTTCCCCATGATGGAAACATCTGGCCCTCAGCCCCAAAACATCTGGCTGCTTGACCGGAGGCCCCAGTTTTCATCAGGAGGTTTGGCACCTGAGGGCCAGAGCTTGGGAGCCCTCCCACATTTGAATTTCCCCAAAATACAGCCAGAAAGAGTAACAGGAAGTGGAGGGGTGGTTTGCTCTCCACCGCCAGCAAGCATCATTACCACCCAAACATCTGGAGCCCAGGTAGACCCGTGGGATGTTCTTGGCAAGTCACAAAAGAAAGCCCTCTGGTGTCTCCCCGCATGGCAAGGCGGGGAGAGGCCCGCTTTCCTGGCCCATCTTCTGCAAAGATGGAGTCCAGTTTAACACTGAAAAGGCAAAGGAGAAGAAAAAAGCCCCTGCTATTAATAATGCCCCAGGGTGTACTCTCGTTTTCCTAGGATCTTAAGCGCGGTCATAAATGTTATTCTTTCAGGCTACAAGAGCACCCTTGGTGCTTTTCTAAATATTTTTTAAAAAAACACAAAAACCTTTCCTTCCCTCCTTCCTGACAAACAATGGCTCACGGAAATAATATTTTCCCAATCATTCACTTAAAGTATACACAAGGTGTGAATGTCCCATGTGCCAGACACTGCTTGAGGCCCTGGGAATACAGCATTGAACATGCAGGTCAAAGAACCCTTGGTTTCATGGAACT